TATGTGCCTGGCGGGACATACTAAAATCCGTCTCTTCCTTCTCGCCCTCTCTTCTCGTCTCTATCTCTGCCCCCTGTTTCTGTGTCAGTCGCTCTCCCGTCTCTCTTTATCTTTCTCTTTCTCTTTCTGTTTCTCTTTCTCTTTCTCTTTCTCTTTCTCTTTCTCTTTCTCTCTCTCTTTCTCACTCTCTCTCTCTCTTATATGAAACAGCAGCTGAGCGACCAGATTTAAGGGTGCATCCGTGCATATGCATGCATGCAGGCATGCATACGCATGTACACAATTACACGGTAAAGCCGTAGCACCTACGTGATGTTCTTTCGGGGCATCGCAGCTTGAAGCAAGTGCAGAATGCCTACAGGCTCACACGAGTCCACGGCCAGATTTACAAGCAGCTAGAGAAGCAGGACGTCGGGCTTTGCTCGGAGTAGGCATGGGTTCTTTCGGGTCCGACTTATTCGCAGGACCAACCCAGCGCCGAACGTGGACAGCGGCTGCAATCCCTAAAGCCTGAACCCCCGACAAACTTGAATTGTTGGGAGCTCTAAATCAAGATATGGAACCCAACAAACCAGGTTACCTAGGCTGCAGGTAGGCCTCAATTCGCACTTCATTCCAAGTTAAGCTGTGAACTGTGTTTCGCGGGTTCGTACGTTTCCCACAGATGGGGTAGTTCGGCTTTAGAGTTCGGGGCGGATGGTGAAACACTTTCGGATTTGAGGCCCAATACTAATGCTTAAACGCCTAAAATACTTTCAGGGTTTGGGGTTTATGGTAGGGTTTAGGGGCGGAATAGGGTATATGTGGGATTCAAGGGGCCCCAATATCATATCCTTCAACGCCACAAGCCCTACATAAACCGCTTAAACCTTCAACCCGCAAAACCTTAAACCCAACATGAAGTAATAGGCAGCCCTGTACTTTTACTCCCGGGTCCCATGCCCCACCAAATGGTATCCCCTCCCCCCCGGCCCCGGCCCGGCTCCCCCCACACAACCGGAACGAGCCCAGTCGGTCTAGAAAGCGGCACCCTCATTCTACTTATACCTGTTGTCATATGACTGCTTCCATGCCGACAGTGCTTTTACCCTCTCCCACCCGCGCCAAGGTCCGCATTCCCAGAGACTCCAACATCCCTTAATTAAGGAAAAATATCTACAATTATTAGGGATCCTGCTTCAATTTAAGGTATATTCCGCAATTAACTGATATTGGAGTGTCTGGGTTCACCGCTTGAGGAGCTGCTCATCGCGCACCTGCTACGGGATGGGGAAGGCCTCAACACAGCGGGGGCCACAAGAAGCGTTTGGAATTGGATCTTGGGGAGTTAGGGATGAAGGCTATTTCGTGTCTTCACCGGGGATTAATTTAAAGTTTTTGCAGGTTTTTGAAATAGAAGGGGAAGAGTTCTCCACCTGTATCCCTCAAATTATGAAGGTATATATTCGTGGTGTCCGAGGAACGACGATGCCAGTACAGTGAAGCCGAGGAAAAGCCCTTTAAATTGACTGTCAAACCCAAAACAACATTAAACAGAAGGCTCTGGGCTTGTTGATTAGGTCGCTCTTCTGGTCGTCACACTGGTGCCAGAACGGTACTGAAATGCGCACACGTTTGCAATTTGCAATAGTTGCACTGGCAAGTCTTCCGAGGGCTCTCAGGCGCGGATTCGTGAGTGCCTGAGTTGGCAGAAAGCTCGAGCAGCTCGAGCACAAACGCCAAGGTCCACTCGTTTGGCAAGTTTCCCCCAGGAGGGGCGAGACAGTGGGGAGTGTAAGTAACGAAAAGATGAACCGTACTGACAACCCAAACAAGGACCCTAGTAGGAACCCTACTATGGACAGAAGGACCATCCTTTTCGGGGAGTCCGAGGCCTTAAACGCCCAAGTGCCGACTGGGCCTTCAAAGAAGCCAATGCGCTCATCCTGATGTCGCAGCCGAGGCCTCAATAGATTTCGATTTCGTAGAGGTCATTATAAGGGTGTTTGAGCTTCTGGGGTTCAGGGTTTTCAGATGGAGGGGGTCTGTAAGGGTCAATGTCCGTTTCCCCGAGGGGCGTTTAGAGGGGCTGTGGGGCTTCGATATTGGAGGTTGGTTCTGAAGGTGTCTCAGCTCGGTTGTCTAGAAGTACTACCCTTCTTCACTGTAGTTGTTTGTGCTAGAGTCTGTGTACCGAGCCGAGAAAAGCGGCACCCTCAGTTTACCGATATTTTTTACTGGAGCCTAGTCGGGTTGTATAGAGTCTATTCAGGGCCACCGAGCAGCCAAGCGAGAGCATTTTTTAGCAGTCCTACATAGCAAAATCCTACAGGCCAATATATCAAGGTGTCCCTCGCGGAAAGCCTGGCAAGGCACTTCCGACAAATCTTTGAAGGGTCTGAGTTCCCGCCGGTTTTTGAATCTCAGGTTTATCAGGAACCCCCAAGTACACGACTTCGGTCCTTACTAGAGGTTTTTCCTCGCTATAAACGAGAAAGTAACCCAACTCCGAAGCCCTCAAAACCTGCAGCCTGTTTGAGACACCAAGAATGCCCACATGAACCTTCTGAAGCCCTCATACATACACCTTACATGGTCTTAGATGGCCCTTATTTAACACAGCCTTGCACGTTGACTGTTTTACTGACTTTCTCCAAGCCGGAACCCGCGACCCTCCAATGTTGCTGTGCCAGGTGCTTGGACCCCTTTGGTGAGGATTTCTGGAGAGCCCAATTCGACCGAGTGCAAAACTGGACATGCAACGACATGACTCTGTAATATAGGGGCCTCAATAATTACCTGTACTATTTTGGGGGTTCCTTATTATGATTATAGTACACTGGGCACCAAAACCCTGTTCTTATTATTCAGGCTCCTACATTAAAGCACTAAGTTGGGCTTTCTGGGTCTGTGGTAGAACGTCGAACGACCCGCAAGACATGTGTCACAATTCAGATGCCAGAAAAGAACCGAAATGCAGGGCTCAATGTTGAAACCCTCAAGCAAGAGAGCTCTCGGCACCACCCCAAGAAATCGCGTCTGGTTGCTGCATGATGGTTAGTCCCTTACACCCAGAACACTCAGGAGCTCTACAACCCGAAGCTGCAAAGGATCCTAAGCTGCAAACGCTAAGCCCAAAACCCCCAACCCCGAAGCCGTTTTCGGTTCACAAGGACGTTTGATTTTCCCTTCCCGACTCTTTGGAGCGGCTATCAAACTCCCCGCAAGCCGCCGCAGGGCCTCATTTGTCGAGCCGGGAAAGATTTAGGGGGCTTTCGGGCCACTACAGAGTTAGTAGAATTTGGGTGTCCAGATGGTTTGGAGGGTTAAGGCCTGGTCTGAGAATCAGAAGCATAAAGCTGCAAGTAGCCTTGAGGAAGCTCCAGCACCTGAGCCATCAACCTGCCCGGAGCCAGTTGGAGTCCGATACAACCCATCTCTGCATTGCCATTGAAACTGTATTGTTTTTTTGCTAGGGTTTCCTGGTCAGACTTGGGCTCATGCTTGGCATGGATCATGTCTGGCAGGACGCAACGACCAAAATGCTCATGGGGAGCTGGCGATAGCAAGCATGACAGGGCCGACGGCTTTATTGCACCAACAGTGTCAGATGGAGCCCGAGACGATGCAGTTGTTGAGGGGTATCTCAGAAGCTTAATGAAGCACACCATGTTATCAAGTTCCCTTTACGAAGATTTCAAGGCCTGAGCCCCCCAAACAGACTCAGTCAATCGGAACGGGCAGCTCCGTGCTTATGACTTTGGCTTGTGGGTCACACACAAGCAGTATCAGCCTGAGTTGGGAGGGCCCAGAAAGCATAGTGTCTCTAGACACATATATTGGGCCCCGCTGTGGATTCTGTGGATGCCCATAGTCTCCATGCGCAACGAGCCTTCGAGAAAAGCAGCCCGCAACCACACAGTCCACTTTTTCAAGCTAGCCACGCATTGCATCTAAAATCTCGTCTGCCGCGCTCTCGCCAACTCCGCACCCCAGTCCCTAAGCTAAGAGCAGGTCTTCCCGAAATATCTGAGATCACGATACGTAGCTACGCTCCTTAACGGCACTGGCGCATTCGTGCAGGCCTCAGGGCTGCTGCAGTGAACTCGAAGGAGAAGGACACAGGGACCATACTGCGAGAGCCTTACTGAATAGAATAAGCTTCCTTTTGGGCTCCCGATAGTGTAATGGTATAGTTCCCCCGAAGCCCGGCCCCCATGTTGAAGCCTAAACTCTGAAGGCTACTGTTTCGTGACGCGTTGACTTGAAGCCTGTTGAGCTTCTGGGCTTATGGTGATCCTGACGTGACGAATGTGGCCCCCAGACCCGAGATCGCAAAGTGAACATGAACCTGAGAAGCAAGCATTGAATCCAATTCTGCGGGGACAGACTGTGTTTGCCTTGGGGCAGAGTGTTCAGTTGCATTGCCCAACATGGGTTGAAGGCAAGCACAGAGCTAGGCGCATGACCGCGTAACTTCAAGCCCCGGTATGTCATGCTGTTTCGCATCAAACAGAGATGAGAACTGTAGCTGGACGTGGCAGCATATGGCAGACGATCGTTGAGCAGCTTGAGAGGTTTCTCTGTTGCTTTCAAACCCTTATAAGCACCTTTTATATACAGAGCCGTGTAGAATAGAAGTCCTTCTACACAGAAGTGCTCATTCAACAGGAAGCCCTTATCGAACAGCAACCTTATGGAATCCTAACCCTTGGGAATAGAAGCCCCCGCGGAAGCGTTTACGGAAACCAAGCCCTTGACGAAATCTGTGTAATTAGAAGCCTTTCTTGACATGCTGAAAGAAGCCCCTAGAGAAAAAGCTCCCGCAGGAACCCTGAAACTACAGTACACGGAAAGAAACCCTGACCGAAACCGTAAGGGCGCGTGTAGATGTGCCAGACACAACGTGGCCGAAGGCCGGTGACCGTCAAAGCATGTTGAACAGCACCTTGCTGAAACAATTCCACTAGAGTCACTAGAGGACGTTGAGCCATATGTGCTTGTGCAGCAGGAGACAAGCGATGGCTGCAGCGGGCGAGGCTGACTTGAAAAGTGGCTATGTAGTAGGAAGCAAGGGCATGTCTCGTGGTGCTTGCTTCTTCGGGCCAGGGGCTCTTGGGCCTTGGCGGTCGTTTTTTCAGTTCGCTTTGTGTTCAAGATTGGTCAGCAGTGAGCCTTGCCAGGAGGGCATCCCAGACGGAAGCGGTTCACGAGAGGCGATGTTTTCAGCCAGATTTGATGGCAAGGAGACTGAGAGGCTGTTCCGGCAGGTTTACAGCATCCTGAAGGAGCGGAACTACCCAGTAATGATGGAAGAAGGGGCAGGGGGGGACTTTGGGACGACTGCCATCTTCCTGGGGCGACTCCGAAAGCACAAGGGTGTGATGCTCTCCGTTTGCACCTCTCATTACGGCGAGATCACCAACTCCACGTACTCTTCCTACAACGAGGTGAAGTTTGCACAGGATCACAACGTCGAGATCCTGCCTCTCAGGATGTGCGAGGACCCCTGGCCTCCTGAGCCGCCTTCGGGTCCGCATCATCCCTACGACAAGGATGGGACGGCGGAAGGGCTCCTTGCCATGGCCATCCCACCAAGCAAGATCTTTGTGGACTGCAGGGGAAGGGATGCGAAGTGGATCGCTGCCCAAATCGCGCTGACGCTGCGCCAGAAGGCAGGGCACGGAGATACACATGCTTCGATTATGACTTGGCTTTGCGCTTCATAGCTTCAAGAGCTTCGGCATAGCCTAGCATTACAAGTCGAAAAGGATGAGACATTTGCCGTGTTGCAGTACATGTATTACTCAGCCTCTGCAAAGCGAGCAGCTGGCTTCGGACCAGCACGCGTGCATTCGAAAATGTGCCCCAGGAACCTCCATTGGCCTTCCCATGTGCACGCACCCTTACTACCAGCAGCTCCTCACTCGGCGACAGTATGCATGAATGTAGGCATGTATGTATGTATGTATGTTTGTTTGTATGTGTGCATGTGTGTATGTGTGTATCATTATGAACATCAGCTTTGCAGCGGCTTGTCTGCCTGTGTCTCGCATCCGAAGCCTTGCACCTCGAGCCCGAAACCTTCGACAACCGCCAAACCCATAAACCCCGACACTCCGCAGGGCTTCAACCCCGGGCCTTCACCAAGCACCGAGCGGTACAGCCAGCAAGATGCCAAGGCTCGACCAGGAGGGAGCCGCTGTAGCAGTGAGATGCTGTGAGTGCGTAACCACAGACCAAAGGTTCATTTTAACTGTGTTCACTCGTGGACGGAGTCTTTTCCAGTGCTGAATTCTTGAGAACGGGTTCGAGAGTTAGTAAACCGAGGTTCTGCAATTCTCAATCAAGTTGTCCCCGGCCCCAAAGCTGGCAGCACCCCAGTGTGGCGAATGCTTCGTCGGCCGAAACTCCTAAGCTCCGCGGGACTTCAGCCATCAGTCAGTGACTGCGAGATCGAGTCGCGATCGTCATGTTGGTTGCTTCGAGCTGCTTGTGCTGGGAGTGTGCTAAAGTTGAAAATAGTAAATTCAAGGGTCGGTGTATTCCTCCTTCATGAACGGAGGAGTCTTGGGCCCGGAGAGTTGATGTCTTGACAACGGGCTCGGAAGTTGGAAAACCCGAAGGGCCAATTTCCAGGACTTCAGAGTCAGAGAGTCAGAGAGAGAGGGAGAGAGAGAGAGAGAGAGACGCGTAGTTGGGCCAACAGCCCTGCGGCCCTGCCTTTTCTCCGTCGAAGGCCGTGGTCCGGCCGAGCGCTTCGCCCAGCCCCGCAGACGTCAAAGAAGCCGAGGCCAGACACATCAGGGATGGTCGGTTGGGCTTCGTCAGATACTCGGTGGTCTCTACTTCAGGGCAGCTCGCGACGTGCAGATGTAGGAGTTTCATGAGGTTAATGGAGTTTAGGGTATACTGTAGGGAACCGGCAGCTGCTTCCATCCAGGAGGCCGGGAACGCTGCTGCTAGTAGGGGGCATTCAGCAAGAAGATTTCAGCAATCTTAGCAAGGTGAGGATGCGACGGGAGCCTTGCATGTGCTGGAAGGAATTCGAAGGAACATGAAAGAAAGCGCGGCAGCGGCAGCACCAGGGGTCGCAAGGATTTCGGCGTCGTTCGCCTTAAGACGTTATCGACAGCCTGAGCTTCTCTTTGGAATGTAGTGGATTCGATCAGACTTTTGGGTGAATTTTCTCAAAAAGGACCGAAACTGCTGATGGACAAAATCCTGCATTACCCTTTATATAAGGAATATATCTATCTATATATATATATATATATACATACCATAGTTCCCATAGTTTAATAAACCTAAAAGTTCATTGAAGGTAGGTTTTCTTTTCAAACCGTATTTTTGATAAGGGTTAACTAATTCAAATCTCGCTGTTTTAGTTGCCATTATTGTTTATAATTATATTTAGATAAAATAATTATATAACGTTGGGTTTAATATATATTTCTAGGTTGTAAGTCTTCCAGTCTGTCTTCTATTTTCTTTTTTGTAGCATCAGATACCGGAAATAAGTTCATTAATTCATTCAATCTTTTCTTCATATGCTGAATGCTCGAATGTGGTAAGTTCGGACGATAAAGTTCATTCATTAGCCGGTCTAATTCATTCTGATATTTTTTCCGTTTGTTGCTTTCTAATAGTTCGTTTCTTTTAAGAACACTACCTTCGTATGCTTCTCTCAGTTTTTGATGTTCTCGCAAATGCTCTAAATATCGTGTGTCCTGCATTTGAAAGGACTATATTGTTTAGTTCCCGTGCTAATCTTAAACCCTTTCATATCCTCGGGATGCTGTTTCCTTTTTAACTTCTTGATATACTTTCTAGAAAACATTTAAATAATATATTAGATTTTATTATTGTCGCCTTTTATTTCTTAATCCTCCTGAAAACATACTTTGAACTAATGTATTTGCTTTCTCTCTTCTCTGATTAATATACTGTTGCTGTATTAACATAAAATTATCATTAATAATTTCTTGCGGTGTTTTTGCAATTGGTGGCGGTGGTTCTGGCTCTCTGAATTGTTGTTGAACTTGCTGTATATATGCTGGTTCTACATTTGTTATAACTTCATTTTTCATCGTTGGTTGTATTGCTACTATTTTGGGCTTTGCCCTTGGCTTCGGTTTCACTTGTTTATCCTCAGTTTTGCTACATTTATGTGTGTATCTTAACGTCTTCAATGTAACATTGGCGCCACAATCTTTACAATTTACTTTTTTATTCCTTAGTCTATCAGTTTTATTTTTAAACTGTGGTTCTTCTTCCTTAACTTCATTTGGTTATATTTTTGCTTTTTCTTTAGGCGTTGGTTCTTCAACTGTTTCAATCTTTGTATCTGTCGGTGGTTCAGTTGCTTCTTCATTTGTATTGTCGTTGCTTACTTCATTATTAAGATCATCTTCAGTCATGATATATATATATATATATTAGTCTATATTGTTTCTATTTTAATGAAATAGAAAAGAAATAGACACTATAAGTCAGAGTTAAAATCATCAAAGATTAACAAATAGCAATGTATTTGAAACAGGGGCGTTATGCAAGTTTATAGTTTTACCTCTTGCGTCGGCAATTCTAAATCTTAACCGTTTTAATGATCTATTTGAAACATCAATCCAATCATTAACCAAAGGGGGCGATGTTGAAACAGTTATACCTCCAACGTTGAACATCATGTTAACCTTTTTCATTATGCTATTACTGTATCCGTCGGGCGCCGAATAGTGAAAGTCGCTTAACTTTGTGCATATTATATACAATGAGTTGAATGGATTTAGGTTCATCAATCCACTTGTCCATGTTGTATTGGTTGGCACCGTCGCTTCATAATTACCTATTAGGTTATTTACACTCATCGGGTCTTCTAGTATATTACCGCTCCATATGGTGCTTTCTTAGAATTCCGTATCAGTTGGCACTTTGAAACTGTAGGCGTTATCAGTAATATTCAATATCATTCGTCGTTGGTCGCTGTCATAGCTTGAAGTGAAAAGATCTGACGGGAGACTTTGATTAACTGCTTCTTGACTTAATAAATTAGATATTCTACCTATTAGTTGAGAAGCGAAGAACACTTGGTCTTTTAAATCAATTTTTGAATATGACCACTTGTGTTATAAACTATTACATACATAAACTGATAAAAACCATCAGGTGTTGTATAATACGACTGGGGTATAACCTCATTCATTACATACATAACGGTGTTTGGGTGAATTTCTAAATTTTCGTTCATTTGCATTATAAAGTCGCTACTGCTTTCACTCTGTGGCAGTCGTTTTTGACTGTCAACATAAACTTTGTTGTAAGTTAATTTACGATTGCTTATCATTATTAAGATAACGAGATATTTTTTATAGTTTTAATTATAATAATGGCAGGAATACGAATAGCAGAAGTTTTACAAACCTTAGCGAGAACAGGAAGGATAAATCAAGGCGATGAATTCTTACAATCATTACAGGGTAGAGTAAGGAACAATATTCAGTTTAATCCGGCAAGAGAATTCATTCAAGAACAGCTAGATAACAATGAAAAGAAGAAGAAAAGGTTAATGTCAAGAGCAGACGATTTCAACGCACACTTTAACAGCAAACAAGCACTACAAAACCCCAAATACAGAGAAGTTGTCAATGTTGAAAACAAAAATTATATAGATGATGTAGAAGGATTGAAAACCGCATACGCTAATAATACTGGCTTGTTTAGGTCGGGTAATACATTATATATTTCGGGCACTGGTGGCAAAAGTGGCAGTGGTGCTAAAGTTAATGATGTATTGAGTGACATATTTTTAATACCTTCGCATAATTCACAGTTTTCAGATAAATATAGAGATGTTATGAATGAATTAGAGAAAAACCCAGATGTTACGCGTCTTGTTGGTCATTCCTTAGGCAGTTCGGTTCTTCAGGAAATTAATACCAGGAATAATCAAAAATAATATATTACAACTACCTATAACTTCCCTTTTATAGCATTTGGTTATCGTGGTGGTAAAATCCCGCATCATTTAAGATTTTCAAATAGGGGAGATGTCATTAGCGCTTGGATAGGGATGCTATTAAAATAGAAACGGGAACTAATAATTCTATAAAAGCACATAAGTTTCATAATGTTGAAACACAAGGAACATTTAGAGTAGGTGAGGATAATAGAATGGGCGTATCAAGCCATCCTAATGAAACAACTATACAACAACAGAATTTAATCTAAACAATATTAGTGAACAAAAACAGTACTTACAAACCATACAAAGAACTAATACTAAATGGTAAAACAAACAAACTAAATAGTATAATACAAAATGATATTAACAAAAAAGATTATAATAGTATAAAAGATATGTTAGAAGAAAAGCAACAAATTATTACAAAAAATAGTGATATTTAATCGAAAGATTTTGCCACCTGAAGCATCAAACAAAAAGAAATATAAAAAATAAATATATCTAATCTAATTTATATAATAATGGATAATTTAGTAGCAGAAGCGAGTGATGTTATGAGTCCAGCCTTAGATTTTGGATTACCTAAAACCGCACAGTATGTAACAGACCGACGACACGTAAATTATTTTCCATCAGGTAGTAGCATTTACACGAGTGCCACAGGAAACAAAAACATTCGATTGTATGTTACAGGAGAAGACGGAACTTATCTAGATTTATCAAGTCTTCGTTTATTTGCCAATCTTCAAAACGACGGTGATAATGACACACAGTTTTTACGACCATTAACCGGATTACATGGGTTTTTCAATCGTTATAGATGCACCGTCGGGGGTCAGTTGGTTCAAGACATTGACCAATATAACAGACATTGTGAGTTATATAACAGTTTTTAATCGGTTGAAGCGCGTCATATGGACGACATAGAAACTAGCGCTAATCCTCGTTGGGACGATGACTGGCGACATAAATATGCTAATGGCTTAGACCAATTTGTAAGAGTTAATAATGCTAATGATGGTGTCACTAGAACAGAGGCAGAACTGCCAACGGGAGCAGATGCCAAAGATTACACCGACCATAACAAATGGGGTAAAATATCCAATCGCTATACTCGTCATTCAGTAAGTGGCATTCGTAAAGGTGAATATTTTAGACTTGGGCATCAGTTTAAATGTGGTTTCCTAGAGAGTAATTGTTATTTACCCGTCCGATGCGCCCCATTAGAAATTGAAATAACCATCGTATCAGATGCTGATGAACCAGTAATAAAAGGAGTAAGTTCAGCGAGTGCTAATACTATCGGCGGTGATAGAGGCGGTGCTTATTTTACCGAAGGAGACACTACGACAAATTGGCAACTTAACAATATTATTTTAAGGGCGGAAGTCGTAACATTAGATAGTGCCGTAAATAACAATATTACAAGTCATTTATTACAAGGTGGTTCATTGAAAATTGTGTATCCGATGTATCACACCATAACTAAAAGCTTTAATTAACGTAAATGGAACAGAAATTAATATGAATGTTGTAAAATCGGCAAGTAAATTAAATAGTGCTTTCATTACTTTCTATAGAGCGCAACGAGGCAACCATTTAACAAACGACAAAGAAGACAGTTATTATTTACCCGATAACTAGATGAATAACCGGTTTAATTATTTCTATAATCCTATGATCAACTCAAGATTGAACGACCGTGGGGTTAATGCTACTGGTGCTGACAATGGTTATGGATTTGCTGACAAGAATTATAATATTTCCTGGCAAGTGCAGATCGCAAATCGCAAGTACCCCGAGTTTGAATCTCAGTCTCTTGCAGAACATAT